CTGGCAACTACAAGGAGGAGAGCCTTTTCAGTTGTAGCTCCGACCCTTTGGAACGATCTCCCCGTGGAGATTCGTACTCTCACCACCGTCCATAGCCCTTAAGACCTGGCTAGCCCGTCAGGCCTGGGGACAAAGATAATTGCCCCTCCCGAATGATGAATGAATGTTGCTCATTATTTTACTTTATGTTTGTCTACGTGATTGTTTGTATTTCCCCCCCCCCTGATTTTATGTAAGCCGCCCTGAGTCCCCTCAGGGAAAATGGCGGCCTATAAATGTTAATAAACCTCTAAACCTCTAAATAGTGAACCATTTAAATGAGCCACGGTGGCACAGTGGTTAGAATGCAGTACTGCAGGCTACTTCTGCTGCCTGCCTGCAATTTTGCAGTTCAAATCTCACCAGGCTCAGGGTTAACTCAGCCTTCCATCCTTTTGAGGTCTGTAAAATGAGGACCCAGATTATGAGGGCAATATGTTGACTCTGTAAAACCACTTAGAGAAGGTTGTAAAGCAAAGTAAAATGGTATATAAGTCTTATTGTTATTAAATGAAAGAGTTCTAAGAAAAATAATTAGAGGGAACTCCTGTTAAACATAATTATGCTGAGCACTGCAAACTAACTATCCAGCTAAATATACAGTAATAAACGTTCTTACAAATCATAGTCAGGCTTCTAAGAAAACCAAACAATTTTTTTCCTATATGAGATGATAAAGGAAATATAGAAGCACGTAACTTCTGAATTTTCTAGTTTCAGTTAGGATTTTCTTTGCTATAAACATTTTAAATCCTCTCTTTTGCTAGGGAAACAAAACCATATATTTATGTACTCATTTACTTCTTTAAATTTATTATAGCTAGCTGCTTCAGTAGATGTTGGGAAGATTACGATGTCCAAATAAACACGTAACACTTTAAAAGATAAAACATACATTTAATATGAATAAACTTTTCCTTTAACTGAACTATAGAAAATAATTTTCAAATCCAAAGCATTCACATTCTAAGCCTAGTCATGCATAATGAAACATTCTTTCTTATGCAATTTATTTGACCCAAGTTTCATCATGGATATAAGGTTTCCGGGATTCCTAACCTGTGGATACTGCGAAAATCCAGAATTATATCCAGAGTTATTTGGTTGCATGGCAGGAGATGGCAAAGATGGTGTCACATTCCGGTATCCTGGCTGAAGAGGAGGATACCCACAACCAAATGACTTGGAGACTTTAGACATCTGAGGAACAGAGGAAATAGGAGGTGGGCTACTTGCTGCAGAACATGTTTCTAGACAGGAAAAAAAGGTTAAAAGTTCTTTCTTATAAAACACAAGCATCAAAATATACTGAGCCAAATATAGAAGCATAATACATTTATCATTAGCAAAGCTGTGCTACATGCTATATATCATTTAATGAATATTTTTTTAAAGAAATGAATTTGATTACAAATCAATGAAACAAATTCTGTACATCTTTTTTTTCCAAATGCACACATTTGAAACAATAATTTTAACACATTTTAAATGTTTTCAAGCCAAAGAATTGAATTTTTTATATATATTTAATGGATGTTGACTTTATAAAACTACCTTTTTATCTTTAAAGGAAAAGGTAAAGGTTCCTCTCTCACATACATGCTAGTCATTCCCGACTCTGGGGAGCGGTACTCATCTCTGTTTCTAAGCTGAAGAGCCAGCGCTGTCCGAAGACTCTCTGTGGTTATGTGGCCAGCATGACTAAATGCCTAAAGGTGCACGGAATGCTGTTACCTTTTCACCAAGGTGGTACCTATTTTTGTACTTGCATTTTAACATGTTAAGTTGGCAGAAGCTGGGGCAAGTAACAGGAGTCACTCCATTATGCGGCAGCCAAACTGCTGACTTTTCTGATTGACAGTTTCAGCATCTTACCCACTGAGTCCCTTTACTTACTTAACTTTATATTTACTCTTCATTTAGTTGTAGCCTTAAAACAAAGTTATTTTAAGCTGCATGGGATAAAAGTAAGGGTATAAATGGAATATAACATTAGATTTCAGATTTTATTTTGGCAATATAATAAATAACCATCTTTGACATCGGCCATTAAAGAGATACCTCTCTCTCTCTTGTATGCGTAGCTGATAAGCAGAGAGTGAGAAAATTAGGAAATATGACTCTATTTCTGATGCCTGTTCATCTGCCATGACAAAGTTACATAAATATCTTATGCCTAGAGCTAGTATCATTATACTTACATGACAAAGTTTTTATGACATGCTTAGTTCCTTTTGTGGAGACTATTTATACAACTTGGCAAAGCTTTTTTGCTACAGTCTTCTTCTAGGAAGTTTTTAACTTCCTAGTTTAACTTACAGCCCTAGACCTTCTTAGTGATCTTCCACGCAAATATTAACAAGCTTTATTCCTAATTATTTTTTTGAGTCTCGGAAAGGATGGTCAGATACAGCTATGTGGCTGACTTTATTACTGTAAGTTGATTTTTAAAAAAGCGGTATTGATAGTATTAATTATTAAACCGAACACAATTCACCTGGATAGCCATCACCTTCAAGGGTGTCGTAATTGTTGAGAACAGGAGATGCACTGCTAGTAGTGGAAGAGCTGTCAATAGCTAGAGAGAAAATACAGACATTCAACTGATAATAAGTGCATGCTAATAGATGCATAATACTATCTGCTACAAAAACTGTAAAGATCTTACAGGAAATTGCAATCTATGGGTAATTTCACAAGTTACTAGAAAACCTACTTGTAAAGAACAGCTGAAGTCAACTGAACAAGTACATTAGCATCTATTCAAGTACACTAAAAAGGTAACATGGGAAAAAGCCAATTAAAAAAGCAATAATCTGAAAAGTTAGCCATGTTTATTCTTGTTTGTAAGTTTTAAGATAGTATCTATATATTATGTCTCTCCATTCAGAAACTTCTGAGTTAGAGAATTACTTGCAAAAATGAACAAGGGCAATAAAACCTGTTAGGCTTTGGAAGCACTTGCAAATGTGTAACTATGAGAAAAACGATAATCAAGGACTTTTTTCAAAGGATTTCCTTAGTGCAGATTTTCTTACGTCCCTATTCATATTCAAATAACCTCCTTTATGAAGAGACATTTCATGGTCATGTCATGAAATACAAACACAAACATTCTTTGATATTAAGTAACTATAAACCGAAGACACAATGGTGTTAATCCATGCAGGAGTTCTGTTGCAATAAATGTGCAGCAAACAACGCACACACAAAGGGGCTCCAAAATTTTCTTTCATCCAATGAAAGATTTTTCTGTTGAAGGAAAAATTTGGGCATAGGAGGGGGCCTTATGACTATTGCAAACCATACTGTGCTCTTTGCCGAGTGTTGTTAAAAGTGCAAAAGATCAGGGATGATTATGTTCAAACAGTAATCTGAACTGTTCATGTTCTTCCAGCCATTAGGTCCACAAAACATGCAGAGAAAATTGGACACAAACACATGCCTGAAGAGGTTGGTGGGCTGTATACCTCAAAATATTATGCTAAAAATCACCATTTACAGGCGTTACTTGACTAATTATGACAGAAGCATTCAACTCAAAGGTTGCTTTCTTATAAAGACTTACCAGGAAGTAAGTCCTATTGAACTCAAATGACCTTTACTACTTCCTAGAAATTTACAAAGATTCCAGTGTCAATGTCCAATGTATAACAATTATTTATTATACTGGGATATTACATCTCTGCTGTGTAGAAGGTGAGTCAATACTACCTGCCATTTGCCAGATGGGTTTCAGCAAAAAGATAAAACTGAAAACCAAATTAAAAATTAGGTTTCAGTATCAACATTCCAGTATTTATATAACTTTTGCATTTCAGCAGATTCCCAAAATTAAAAAAAACCTCCAAAACATTTGTAGTACTCTAGAAAAATTCTCACACTGCATTGAATTCTCCAACTTTGCAAGCAAATGGACAAAATGTTTGAGGCAGGGCAATCTTATTGCTGTCCCACCTCAATTGTGAATACATTTTCTAATTCATTTGTGCTTTTAATTCAGTCATTCAATAATCAGAATAATGGAAGATGGAACACTATCCCATTACTATACCAATTTTAAGAAATATAGTGACCAAAGCAGCTGGAACAGAAATTTCACAGTAATCTTTTTGATTTGTAAATAACTTGACTCTCTTAGCATCTACTATGTACGTAAGATTGAGTATATTAAACAAGCTGATCAATAATTAATATAGATTTTTAATTCTTTTAAATAGATTGTGGAAATTAATTGCACTATATAACTTTGTAAAAGTGTCCCTACATATTAGCATCTGGCATTGGTGATTCATAGGATTTTATATGTCATAAAACAAGGAAGCTGACAGTGCCGAAACTTTTACATTCTATTATGAAAAAGAATAAATCTGTGTGTAAGTGAAAACAGAACAATTTTAGCTTGAGAACTGCACTGAAATTTTGAAATCTTTAGGATAATATTGAAAGCACATTTTTACATGCTAAGTTGGCAATATTGCCATACATATTGGGGCAATCTATACAAAATATTTACACATAGGTGTACATGATTTAATAATACTCTTCCTTTTTTTTTAAAAAAAAAGTTTGTTTTCATTTTTCTTTACTTTTTTTTTTAAAAAAGCTTGTTTTCTTATTTTAAATTGTGTTAAATTACACTTTTTAAAGATAAAGCTTTAGTCAATCATCTTTTGATTTCAAGCATCTTCAAGTTCATTTTTCTCAGATGCTTGCCTAAATTTATTAAAACTGAAATCATCTACACATGATAGGCACTGTCGCCCTTTCAGGAGAGGCAGAATGTAATGTATTGGCAATGGTTAACAATTTATCATAGTGCAATGTTTGCCTTGGCAGTAAGATGGAAAGTCTGTTTCCATAATGGGAAAGCAATGTGTATGTAGTATTTACAGTGATGCTAAAGAAAGAAAGAAAGGATATTTTTTAAAAACACCTCCAAATTACACATATTACATCAAATACTGTAAACCTATTTCTAATGAAGGAGATGCTCATTTTTATAGCCACTTATACTGAAATAAGCTCCGTTCAATTACATGTGACTAACCTCTATCTAAACATGTAAAATAATTCAATAATGAAACCCTGGCATCTCTTGTACAAATATTTTCAACTCTTAAATGCATATTATTTAGGCTCCAAAATGATAGTTTGTTTGAATTACTTGCACTGAAGAAATGGAATAATGCCATCAAAAGTGAAAAGTTAGAAATACTGGTGCAAAGCTAAAGCAGACCTGCTTCCTCATCCTCATCCTCCTCTTCCTCATCATCTGAACTTGATGACAAGGGAGTTGCTGAAGAGCTAGCTTGATTATTAACATATCCACCATACTGCATGCCTGTAAAAGTGGAAAGCACAAATACCAAAGTCAAACACACAGGAAAGGCAAGAAATTGAAAGCACGAATAAAAGCATTGAAGTAACACCAATCCAAGCACAACAAAGGACACTAACATGAAGAGCAACCTAGTTAACCCCGGAGAAGTTTTCTTTATAGAAGTTAACCACCAGTTCTGGAATGCTGTGGTGTTAGTAACAGGCAGAGAAACTTAGTAGTAGAACAGAACACTATTTACCCTTCATTAGAGATTTTAAGAAATGAAAATTGTTTCTTAATTATCGAGTTACATTGAGAAATCATTGCTCTTGATGTAGAAGGATCAACCAGTGTTTCTCATCCTTGACAATTTTTAAGATATGTAGACGTCAACTCTCAGCATTGAATACTGGCTGGGAAATTCTGGGGGTTGAAGTCCACAAGACTTAAAAGTTGCCAACGATGAGAAACACTGATCTAACCCACCACCAGTTCTACAATTTTTATTGTTTCTGGTTTATGTTGAATAGTATAGTGACTTTTAAACTATACTGTGCTTTGTTTTATGACTGAAAGCCATTGGAAGTAATAATATATCAATGAAAGGAATAACAAATAAAAAAAGATTAGCCAGCAATGTCAATCCATCAATCTTGGCATAGAGAACAGGATAATTTTTTCAAGTCCAATTATCCATTGTCTTGGAAGTACCAAAGCCCATCTAGACAATCAAAGACTTTTTGCAAGAGATCCTGGATACAGATTCTTTTGTCTTAACTGGAATGTATTGAGTTGATGTAACTTTAAGGTTTATCCTGGATAATCCTTAACATCAAAATCTATTCCACAGCTTCTGAAGAATGAAGTTTCTTCTCACTTTCCTTCATTTCCCCATCCCCACCCCAAAATGATGCTTTAAATGGTGATTTTATTTTACATTTATATTTATTTACAAAGAAAAGAAGTAAAACATTTCAGCAAAGCTTCAGAGGTGATTTCTTGATCGAGATTAACTGAGAAAGTCTTCTTTGAAAAATTCTTAAAGAATGTAGATGGATAGCCATGGATCACTGAACAGATCTGAATAAACCTTAAAGTTACATCAACTCAATACATTCCAGTTAAGACAAAAGAATCTGTATCAGGCTAATAACAAAAGCTTGGTGTACAATATGAGGTGACAGAAATCGTTTGAAAGCAATAATAAGAGGTCATTAGAAAATAAGTTGACAAATGGATGACACAAGTCAAAGCTTACAAGACTTAAAAAAAAAAAGTCATCAAGAGACAATCTTGGCAAGCAGTTCATCTAATCTCAGTCAGAAGTGACTGGATAACTGAACAATTGAGAATTTTAACTAACTTACAGTAGCTATTAATAAAGTTATTTATTTGTTAAGTGTAATACCAACATCTAAGCCATCTAGCCACTGAAGTGCAGAATCGTTTATATGAAAAAAATTCAGATACTGGATCGATGTATGCCCTCAGATTATGTAAAGTGCAAAACCTATTCAGGATTGTCCATTGCTGAGGTGTTAGTTCAAAGCTTGGCTCCTTTTTGTGGGGTCATTTATATGTCTACCTATATCTGGGCATTCAGCAACCCATTTGGCTTTCCATTGGGAATAGATCTTAAAATTGTTGGGCATATTATTAAATATATTACTAAAGTATAAACCTGAGATAACAATCAGAATGACTCTCATCATACAACTTCCTTCCACGTTTCTTCAATATACTGGTACACCTTAAACCCAAAATAAAAAACTGAAATTTGGAAGTTCTGCCCCTCTGTGAGGCTAGTTGCACTTTGGCAAAAACAAAAGCTAAAATGATTTGCCTGTTAATGTTTCAACAGGATCTAAACTCAGAATTGCTATGTATGTTTTACCCATGAAAAGCAAAAGCCACTTGGGTCGCAAAAAATTGGACAATCAGAAGAAAGCAGCAAGAGATGCAGGAAAACTAATCCTCTCCTTACTATTTATTGGCTTCTGCATCTGGAGGCCTGATGTAGTAGCCTCAACCCAATCACCTCTTCCTGGCATCTGTCTCTGAAGTCTTCTCAAACAAATGCACAGAACACAGTGATGAATGAATAACAAAGTCAAAAAATCTAAATCAAGTAACCAAACTAACGTAACTTATTAGCATAGAAACTTGGAGTGAAAAAAAGACAATAGATGGATGAGTTTATTGAGTCTAAGTCTGCGTGTGAACTCAGGACATGCTCTTTTTCTCCTACCAATTGAGGAACTTTGAGTTCCTTTGGAGATGATACTCACTACACATATACAAAGGCTTCCTGACTCTTCCTGATTTGTGGATGTTCTAAAGCATCAGATGTTGAGACATGTAAATCTTAATTAGTCAGTGATCTCTTCATCTCTCCACATTTTAACAGAAATCTTGCAACACTGGTTCATAAGAGTTTCGGTTGCCAACTGGATGTAAGCTCCAGTCCAGCACTGAATTTAATGGCCTCCACAGCAATTTCTTTCTAAGATTTTGTCCAATGACATATTAATTCTCTCTGTGCTATGAGCTCCTTGAAATCCTCGTTTTACTTCCAAATTCAAACATATATAACTTCTGGCCAAAGCTAAACAGCAATAGGGATATGACTAAACTCATCTGTTACTATGACCAAAACAGGAGAATTAAAAAAGCAAAAACAATGGGAACAAGAACAAAAGACATTTTCCAACTACAGCAATTAAAGAAGAGTAAAATATTCAGAACACTCAACAGATATTGGCTTCCACTTGAAATAAAACAAACCCATCTGGGTTGATCCGGGTCCAAAACCAGACATTTTGGGTTTGAGCATGGGCCACCTGAAAACTTCTGTACTGTCTTGCCCAGAACGTTTTGTACATATATGAAAATAAATTTAATTTTTGTAATTTAATCTGTTTTTATACTTACAATTGTCAAAGGTTTGTATGTTTTATCTTGGTCTAAGCTGCTCAAACTCACTTTGAACTGTGAGATGGGCAGCAAATAAATTTGATAAATTTGTACATCCTCCTAAAAATACATGATGCGTTATGACAATATTTAAACAAAAGATCACCATTGGGACAACTTGATTGTGACTCTATAACTTGCAATTCTGAGAAGACAAATGCATTAATTGCAGGCTCTTATATGTTAATTAAATAAGTAGTATTTATTAATTAAATTTATACGCTGCCCATCTCACTGTCCCAAGTGATTCTGGGCAGCTTACAATAGTATAAGTTACATACATTATATATGCATTATAAAATATGGACTATATTTAAATTAGAACTAAAGCCTTACAAATATTAAAATTACAGGCCTATACACTGTTTTCAGGATTACCCATACCAACCAATAGCTGTTTTACTAAAATATAATTTGGAGCACATATTTTTTTTCTTTTAAGCCAATTTATATACCTTTATGAAGAAAGGAATCTGATGACTGTGTAAGACAAGATGAAGTGATGGGCTTTTCTGTCTTCTCTACAATAGATGTTTTAACTGAAGAAGCTGCAGCTGAAGCCACTCCTTGGTTAGGTTTTACTGACTGGATATTCTGATTTATATAATGTGGTGACCCTGAAAAATCAAACATGGGGACTATACATTAGAAGGGATGGATTACTTATGCTAATTTACAAATAATTTTTGAAGTGACAGCAATTGGACATTTAAAAACAGATAATGAAATTTTTGAAAATGGCAGGAACAGAAGCATGCAGATAACGGATTCAAAGGTTTGTAATAAAATTAGTGTCATTTACAATATACCTATTAATATAGTTTGATAAGTTTGTCTAAGTTTTAAATGATACAAGAAAAGCAAGCAAAGATGACAAATCCCATATTTACAATGTAATTTTTATTCTCATGAAAGAGAAGATTAAGGAACCTTCATCTTAATGACTGAACCTACTCTGATTACACTCAGTGTCTAATTCTTAATGCCTGTTATATCACAATAGATCAGGGCTGTCAAACTCCTGGCCCATGGGCTGGCCACGCCCACATCGTTTAGCAAAGGGGGGAGAAAGTTGTAATACATAACATGATGCCACCGTGACACTGCAAGTTTCACACCCCTGAAATAAATGAATATAATAAAAAAATGAAGATCTTTTCAAAGAGTTGAAAAATGTGTGTGGGACTTCTATGAATCTTTTTATTACTAATTTGCTTTATTACACATATTTGCTTTCTATTCAGGTAGTCCTTGATTTACAACAGTGAGAGTTCAAAGTTACAATGGAAGTGGGAAAAATGACTTATGACCATTTTTCACATTTATGACCATTGCAACATCTTCAGTCAAGTGATCAAAATTGAGTCGCTTGGCAACTGACTCATATGTATGACGGTTGCAAGTTCCCAGGGTCATGTGATCACATTTTGCAACTTTCTGTTAAGTAAAGTCAATGAAGAAGCCAGATATACTAACTGTGTTAGTAACTAACAACTGCAAGATCATAAAATGGGACAAAACTGACTTAATAATATCTCATTTGCAATAGAAATTTTGGGCTCAATTGTCAATTTTACTCAGTACTACCTATACATTTATTTGCTTACAGACACCCAAATACTGAATGGATGTTTGGAATCAAACTTGAAAAACAAATTAGCCTATTGAGGAACGTTAATATCAGCAAGAAAATGAAGAATCAGCTTCCAGTGTTAAAAAAAGCAATAAAGTGAAAGTAGCCTGAGAATAATGCACAAATCAGCGTTGCCTACTATGGGCAACATATTGCTTATTAAAATCCTGTAAATAATTTTTATTCTTTTAAAGATTTGGGTGATTTAAATAGAGCAAACAATCTTGCACATAAGACAAGAATTTATTTTAACAGCACCAAGCTAGTTGGTTTATATTATAGTTCAGGTGAAAAAAGCAACCTGGAGAGAGGAAAAAATATTGAAAATATGAAGCATTTTTGTAAAATCATTTAGCTTCCTTAGCTTGCACACATTATGTACAACAGTCAATTTATTTTAAGCATATTTGTATTTTATGTCACATATAATTTCTCTGTGCAATACCTGTACTCATTGTGTTGTTTGCTTCAGGAAGAGATCCTGTAAAGCTGCCATGATTCCCCTGAGCCAACTGGACCTCTGGAGCACTCCATGATGCAGAAATGTAGCTCAAAGGAACTCTGGGTTGTCCTGTAGGTGGGGCTCTAGTTTGATTACAATAAGCATCTGCTGCATTCAAATGCCCATGTGCCATCACAGGCTGGATACTAGGCATCTGCCCATATGGATTGTCAGTGGACATGGGAGGATATACAATATTAGGGTATGCAGCACTAGACACAGGAGGCATGGGATAATGACTAGAGGAAGCAACAAATCCCTGAGATGGAACAGAAGAGCTGGCAGAATGCAAGACGGAATTGTTGTAGGGACCAGTAAATGAAGAATAGGACTGTGAAATGCTGGTATGCAACTGGGATGCAGAAGGTACTGTTCCTTGGAAAAGTCCTGGTGGTTCTGCATTATGAGGTGCTCTATTGTACAAGTGTTGTGATCCCTGTGAATTTAACATCTTCGGTGTCACAGACGAGATATTAGCATTTTGTGCTGGTACAGAACATTGGGGAGAATAATCTGCACCATAATAGTTTTCTAGCTGTGAAGGAATCGCTTTACTGGGCACTTGTGAGAAGTTTCCTGAGGGAGCTTTATAGTTTTGAGGATGTGATCCATATCCAGGGGAGAACTGCATCAGATTACGTGATAGTCCTGAAAGAGAGATTACAGCAATTAAAAGTGCTTATACTTTAAAGGAAGAGTATGAACTCAAACATCAGTAGGACGTATCAAAAAAGGTGGGAAGACACAAATTAGTTTCAGGATGTTTTTGCTGGAGAAAGTCTATCAATGTAACCACTAAGAGCTGACACTAATTTGGTGACATATAATTACTCAATCAGTATAGAGAATGAATAATTTTGAAGAAACCTGCATAATGACAATTCAGTGCAGCCACTGAACCAGTTCATACAAAAAAATTTATAGCAGAAATGAGTGGAAAATATCATCTATATAATTTTACAATTACAGAAGACAGTACAAGCTCACTTAATATATTTCACTTCTTTTCAATGGGAATGAGATATTTACACAGTGATATATAACACAAAAACCAAAATTTAAAGATGCTAACAAGAAATATTTAAACTATAACAAGTACAGCCAACCCGTGTTTCAGCCTAAGATTGAATCTTATCCGATATGCTGCATTTTAGATTCATAGACAGACAGACATAGATATATAGATGTAAAACAACATATTTCAATTTATTTTGAGGTCCGTGCTGCATCTTTCCTAATGTTCTAGATCTCAGGGATAATCCATTCTCTCGGGGCTTCCCGCCCAGTTCAATGTCCCTGTACTTACCCGAGGGAGTAAGTCAGTCGGCCACGATCAAAATTTTTGTTGCGCAGCCTATTCGTTTCTCCTAATGATGTATCCCACCCGTCTTGTCCCGCTTGTCCGCCCTTTCTTGCCGGGACACAGTGTTTATTTACAGCTCTTCCTCCCAACACCACTTGCTGGAGCCGGCGACGATAATGGTTGAGGCCCGGACGGGACTTCCTTATATGCCCTTTTGGCCGACCAGAAGGAAACCGCTACCTCTTAATCGTGACCCCGGAGGTTCCGCCTCAGAAAGCCAATGGGCAGCGCCTATTGGTCTAAAATGTCTCCCAGTTTGCGCTGCGAATATGTGGTTTTGCTGGGACTTCCTCTCCACCAAAAGATAAACAGTCCCATGGCTAGTAGAAAAAATATTTATAGTGGTGAGCGCGGAATTGGAGTAATGTTAGTGTTTTCATAATGGTTGGTTTAATATTGATTTATTGAATAAATTATGGATGGATGACAGATAAAAGCCAGAGTTTATAAACGGAAATGGCTGGGTTAATACAACGTTGCTAAGCTGTAGCTTAACTACAATATAATGTGAAAGCATTGGTTTCTTTGTGCTTGGCTCCTGGGGCTGATTATTATATGGGCATGTAGTTTTCTTGGCAATATTCACTGCTGCCTTCTAAGGTTGTGTGTGCGCGCGCGATTGTGTGTTTTACATGTATAACTTACGGCGAGGAAATTCGCTAACGATCTAGGCTAGTCAGGTCTGATTTTGAGCCCAGGTTGCTAGATGCTGCTACCTAAGGGATCCTGGTATTTTGAATAAACAACAATTGATTGAGTTTACACAGCATGCTCAGTCATAATGTACTTTGTTTGCTTAGTATGATTGATAAATACAGTGTTTTTGGTTACCTAGCTACGCTGATATTCAATTACAATACTAACAATCATTTTTAAAATTTCAGTTTTGAGTCAAAATTTAAAAAAACTTTATTGGAGAAAGATATTCTATACGAACAAAGAAGGGACAAATAGGTTTGTATTTTTTAATCAAAGAATCGCCATGTAATCTTAGATGTGTTATATATGCTTTACTTATGTGCTAAACATGTTTAAAGACCAAAAAGGGTCTTCTTCATTTTGGCATCTGTGAGGTACTGAGATTGTCTTTTAATAATTGTGTGTGTGTGTGTGTGTGGTGTGTACACATACATACATACATAACAGGTTTCTAGAAGTCACAAAAGTAATGTACTGCATCATCTTTCAAAAATTATTTGAAGCAGATAATTCTAGAAGAGAATATCAATAAGTTAAATAAGTTAAAGTTATTTAATAATTGCTCAATATAACAAAAGTTAACCATTCCAGACAAAAGTTAACCATTCCAGACAATTGTTTTGTACAGATCGATCTATCTGTCTGTCTGTCTGTCTCCATAAATATTTGAATTTAGTGACAAATCCCCTCTAAATTAGTAAATACTAAAAATAATGAAAAGATAACAAGTAATTTCCAAGCCCTTTTTATTTCAGTTTACAATATTTGTTAACATAGCTCTAAAAACTATATAATATAAAATATAAACATTTAATCCCCCCCCCTTTCTGTATTCTTGTTTAAATTTAGAGAAGCTTCTGTATATACTCTTAGTTTCATCATTGCTGCATATTTTTCAAGTTCCCAATCAAATATTGTCATTATATTTTTTTTCCAGTGTTGTGCAATACAACCTGACTCCCTGTGAAATCAAATATTAGATCTTATGTTTTTGTTAAACTAGTCCGGCTGAAATACACTATTGTAGTATTAAAGAATTTAAAGTACAGCAGGCAAAATAAATTCTGCAATTCAAACAAAAATAGAACACTCTTTAAAAGAGTATTAAAGTATTATTT